GGTACGGTTGAGCCAACCAATACTTTCCTTTTAGAGATGAGGCGGGGCCCGAAGGAACACACCATTTCGGCCACCTTCAGGCAAAGACATTTAGGCAACATATATATATATATATGTATATATATATAAGTACATACGTGTGTGGGATGTTGTGCTCATGCATGTACGTAGGTCACATATTCACTTTTCTACTTGTCCATGCATATACAATCATTTAAGTGTTTGCCTGTTTGGTTGTGTTTTTCATTCACTCCTGCGCGCAAGGCACCTGCAGCCAGCCGAGGCAGTTGCTAATGCAACGAACCATGGGACTCTTCAGCGGAGCTTTCCCCACTGCGACCCCAGAGAAGGGATTGGTAGAAGTTCCCCAGTAGTACAAGGGCTCGAGCAGGGGAGACAATGTCATCGAGCGCAAGGATAAGTATGTCTTACCCACTGTTCTCGTCCTCGTTCAGAGGACTAACATATGAGGCGATGTCCTGACTTCTGCGCCAGGGCCCGGCTGGCGACCCTGTGCCGGTGAGGGTGTGAGCCGAATCTTGGCCCGCAAATCCGGACATGCAAGATGCGTGCCTGGAGCAGATGCGCACTCTGGACCTCCACACAAGCGATTCCGATCTGGCACGGACCGGCTGTGATGGCAAATGGTGGCTTGTGGAGGGCTGGAAATGTCACGAGCGACATCTGCGACCCAACTCCTTCGAGCGCCAAGTCACCATGGGAAATTGGCGCTTGTCTCTTGAGGCCTTTCCAGGGCAGCTCTCTCATACAAGTCTGTTGATGGGTCTTGCGAAGGTTGGGATATTGCGTCGATGGAAGTCTTGACTTTGCAATACGAATGTTTGCGCGATCTTTCATGCCATAGAAGCCTTCGGTTGACCGCTGCAGACACTCAGCTCGTTCGGCCTCGAAAGCAGTTTTGCTTTTGCGAGGAAGTGCAAAAAGAAATCACCTAGCGCTGCCGGAATATGCTGGTGTATGCGGATTTAGAAGCTATTCCTGGTGCTACAGGCCTGGCTTGACGTGTTGGGTCGAGGGACGCGCACAAACAGACGTGCGAGGTGAACCCCGCATGGTCCTTCGCAATTGCTGTTTCAGGCCCAAGCCCAGCGCATAGATGAGAAGCGATGTTTTAAACTGAACTCCCAGTAGAACCCCTCCCCCTCATGCTTGCATGCGCACGCCTACCAGGCACAACTCGGGCACTTGCAGCCACATGGCCAGAGAGACAAGCCTCCCAAGCCTTCCACCCTCAAGCCCACGTATCGAAAGAAAAGTCTTTTTGCAGCCTTTGCCTACAGAGTCGAAGCAAACTTTGGCTTTCGACCGATTTCGACCCCATCCCTGGCGGCCTGGCGGTGCCCTTCTAGTTTGTGTTTCACCTGGCTCAGCAAACGGGTTGGTAGCAGCCCCAGAGCACCAGCAGTGGCAGAGAGGAGCTTTGCGGTGACTTACTGATTGAGTTGCCATCCTTGCAAAGAAGTTGGTTCAAGACACGAAGTCACCGACACACTGCAGTTTCGAGGTGGCTTCCCCTGCTCTATGCAACGGCGGCTTTGGCCTGGAACCCCAGCCGAGAAAGCAAAGACGGCAGAAACCGTGCTTCCCCGTCGACGACTGTAGCACCCTGCCGAGGCTACACTGCAGCTAGCGCGCCTGCGGAGCATGTTTCAACTGCCTTGCAAGTGAGATTGACGCTGAATGAAGCGGAGCTCATTCAGCTCGAACCTCACCTGAATGCTTGTTGGAATGCTTGGCCAGGCCTCGGGAATGATGGATCGGGCCTCCATGATCGAGGCAGGTGCGTCTTAGCGCTGCTGAGGAAACCGGCAGCAGAATGTAAGCCATCACGTCAACTGGCACAGCAATCTTAGTTCGTTTTCATGTATAGTCCGTTGGCGCAGCAGGCATGCGTTTGCTTGAGACTTGAAGCTGCTTTGTCATCCAAAGGCAAAGCTACAAAGCCAACAGGGCTGCATGCCAACAACCTCTGAAAACTGAAAGATTTGGGTGAAACCCTCCAGGCTGCCTCGCGCAGTCTGCGCCAGCAGATGAACCGCAGCGTGCAGAGGCCACCTATCAGATGGGGTTCAACTTCCGACGGGGTTCATTTCCTAAAATATAAAAATGGAATCCGAGATCTCGACCAGGGTTTGGCTTGGGGGTCGCAGGTGTCTAATCGTTTTTGTAGACTTGGGCAGGCAGGCCTTATTTGCCTGCATATACAAGAAGCTATGCATGCCAATGCTAGTGCATATCGAAGACTCCTGGCCGCGAGGGATGCATGTCTTGCTTCCTTCGGCACCGCTTAACAAGACCGGCCGCTTGACTGCTCCTCGTAACAGGCCCTATGCGAAAGGCAATCTTCACGACGGCCGGGAGTTCAGACTGCGCCAACAGCTTTTCTCACAGTTGCTGATGCTGGCGCCTGCCAAGTTCTGTGAACACAGACCGCAAGTTCAGTGACAGATGCTTCAGGTCAATTTAGGATACGAAATCGGGACAGAAATCTTGTTCGCCTGAGGTGCTGCGTTGGACGAGCCCCGGAGTGTGGCTTGCCAAACTCGGGTGGGGCTGGAGGGCTGTCGTTGCCGCGCATAGACCTGAAGGGGGAAACAATTTGTCACCTGGCAGGTCCTTTGTTTCCACTGTTTGAAGTCACTTCGGTCGACCCAGCAGGCATGCATAGCGTCAACGGCTCTGCGCTGAGGCGGAGAATGCCCAACGCAGAATCCGCAGCGCTGAAAATCAGCACAGGTGGCACGGAGGGTGTTTCTGAAGGTTGAGTTTAGGCCGGTCCTGGGCTCTCGGGGCCTGTCGTGGGAAGCTGAACAGGCGTCAGTCCAGATAGTGCAACTCTGAACTGTCCGAGGTCTATCTCCTCTGCATCGCAGGAAGCACCTCAAAGCGACTTTGTGGCAGCGATAGCGCGTGATGGTACTTGGGCTCGTCCTCCAGAGCTGGGACGGTGTTAAACTATGAGAGACAGAGACAATGGCAATCCCTCAACAAAGGCAGAGGTTCAGGGCAAATGTTGATGCATGGTCCTGCCCACAAATGGCTTGCCTGTACGATTTAAGCTCGGTTTTGGGCATTGACTTTGACGCAGCTGGGGAGCTGCGTCAATGAGCTAGCAACGCAAGCCTTGGCAAACACCGCAAAAGCACCGGCCCTCCAGGTAGCATCGGCACCGTGGCTCCAACCCCTTCAGCCTCGGCGTTGGACAACTATTCCCTTGAGGCGCAGCCCGAGATTTCGCTCCTTAAGCTGGGTCGTTGAGCGATGTAAACCTGCGGAAGATGTTCAACCGTCTAAACTGATGTGAGTATTATCACCTATTGCAGACTTCTACGAAAGTAGCCAGTAGTGATTCTAGATTCTAGACCCCTACCCCAGTACCACAAATGTGCGAGTCGAAGAAGTCGACACAAGGCATTGGCAGGTGGAGGTGATGCAAGACTGTCCGTGCCCCCCCAAAAGTAAACATTGGATCGCCACTTAGCTGCGCGATTGCAGCTGTAGTTCCGGTGCGTCCGCTTTCAAGTGCGACCAGGATGATGTGGAAGAGGCGCCGGGTAGCATGGAGGGATCAGTGACAGACAGCTTGGTCATTATTTTGCGTACATACTAAACAGTTGGAGCAAACCCCAGTCTGTTGCTATGAAGCATGGCGTTTTCTGGTTTGCTCATGGCTGTCAGATGTGCTGCTTTCATGCAGCTGCAGAGCCCATTCGCACAGGGACCGATTCATAGCCGGCTGTCTCTGGACAGGATGCCACCGGCAGTTCGAACATAGACGACGTGCCTCCTCGCATGTGTTGACTCTTTTGCTCCTGGCACTGCGCCTTATAAGACTTAAGAAGCATACTGCGGAGGTCCGTCCGCGTACCAGGCGCTCGGCACAAGGTGCGCCGTCAAGTCTCAAGCATCGCCTGCCAGGTGCCGAGGGTGCCGCACGATTTTCCCCAAGAGCTCAAGCGACCAGCCAGCCGAAAGAAGGCAGGCAGACACGTCCACCGCTGCGAATCCTTCAAGACTCAAGCATGTGTCCCACGTCACACGAGGCAGCAGATTGCACATGGAGAAGAACAGTATAAAGCCCTGTAACACTCGTAAACTGCACTTCGTGGTCTGAGCGCTAGGACCCGTCCGCCTCAGCCGCAGCGGGACTCGGAGCTTTCGCGGGACCCTCGAGGTGCATCGCATGCGAAAGCTACTGTGATCTCTATCATAGGCCGAGGCTCTGAATGCACTCTGTAATCAGGCTTAACCCTCTTGTTACTCTTGTTCCAAAGGAATAATGATATACGATTTGGAACAAGCACGAAAGTCTTCCGATCCCAAGGCAAGGAAGAAGTTTCACCTGCGGAACAACTCCCAAAAAGGCACCCCCCAATAAGACCCGTGAGCCGCGAGCTCGGATCTGAAGCGAAGCTCCTAGCTCGACTAAGCTGTCAGAATGACGGATGCCTTCGAGCAGCGCAAGACCCGGCAGCAAGCCCAGAGGAAGCATAGGCTGAGGCTATGCGAGCTTCGTGGGGTGGATGTGATGAGTTTCGTGGGCAAGGTTTTAGTGAAAATGCTGTTAAGCCTGATGCATGGTGTGCCAAGGCAACCCATTCCGGTGGAGAGCTGGGGCCCGCGGCCGCCTTCCCGTGCGGGCCTGCCGCAGAAGGCAAAGTGAGCAGTTCAGACTCTGGTTGCGAGCAACACTGCGAGGTCGGTCGTTTCGTAACCAGGAAGCGTTGACAGCTCTCCCCACAAAGCAAAAACAAGGCATGACCCGGACCCCTCCCGATGTGGCAGGCCTCGACGCCACTTGAGGGCAGCCTTGCCGACGGGTTTGTCAGCACCCCATGCCGAGGCCGACGGGGGATTGGGTGCCCGGGTTCCGTTTCGTCTGCGTGTCCTGGCTCAAACCCCGGACCAGACTCCTCTGTGACTCACCAAGTTCAGAAAGAACCTCCGTCGTGTCACAAGCTGCAACATAACTGAGAAACATCTGCGATGCAGGGAGCGGTGCCAGCTCAAGCGTTCATCTGGCATGTTTTGGGTGCTTGAGAGACCGAATTCTGACCGAAATAGGCTGAGAGAGGGGCGCAGGAGGCCGCTGCGGGTTCCAGAAGAACTGCAGTCAGTAAGTCATACGTAGGGCTTGCAAGGCCATTGTAAATTTCTGCACCAATTCACTTGGAGTCGAGCTTTGCGGAACTGGGAGCTTGACCCACTAAAGATCTCCGAAAATGTCCGGGAAATCCCGGCTGCGAGTTCCGGGCCTTTGGGCTCCCAAAGCGAACCACAGCTCTGGGCCGTCTTCAAGCCGAAATTCTGCGCTTCTTTACGCCAGGTCGGGCGTGCGAGCAAAGAGCGTGAGCCGAGTCAGGGAGGCGAGAGCCTTGGAATCTTAGGGTTTTAGAGTTTAGGGTTGAGTTTTTAGGGTTTAGGGTTTGGGGTTTAAGGTATCTTTGTGATAATGGCCTTGACTAATTTGGATATGCCCAGGCTTGCCAGTGATCCTCCACGGGTATCCGGGGCTCTTTGGCGGCGGGTGTTTTGCGCGGGCTTCACTTCGGGTCTTGAGGTTTTAAGGATTTTAAGGTTTAGGATGTTCGGTATTCAGGTGTTGCAAAGGGATGATATCGTTTCATTTTTCAAAGACGATCAAGAAGAGCATCTCTGCAAAATGGTAGTCTAAGGCTTCAGGATTTAAGGCCATGATTTCTGTCTGTCAGGGCATCGGGTTTGGAGCTCTTGCGTTGTGGGTTTCCGTTCCGGAGCTTTGAATCTTCGAAAAGGGATTAAGGTTTTCGGGATTAGCGGTTGTAAGTGTTTAGCTCTTGATGGATCCCTCTCTCTCTCTGTCTCTCGCTCTGTCTCCGTTTCTGTACGCATGGATAAGGGTGTGTTGGAAAAGGCATGCACGCACACACACACACACACACAAGCCCGCACATGACCAGAAGAGGGAGAGCGAGCGAGAGACAGAGAGGGACAGAGAGACAGACGCGGGGGAACTTCCCCCGTCCACAACCCTGACGAAAGAAAGAGACAGAGACAGACAGACTGACGGACAGACCGGCGGACAGACAGACAGACTGACAGCCAGACAGACAGAGAGTGAGAGCAGACAAAAGCCACGGACTCTCTCACAACTCAGAGCCGCATGGATGCACGTTCAAGCCTTTCCGAGCTGGTAGTCATTCCTGGTGAAGTAATGCTGGTCATGAGAAGCCATTCAACTAGGCTGATCATTGGCATTACAGGATTGGTGCTCGCTGCAATATGCAAGTCAGTCATGCATCCTCACGGAGCCAGAAATCCCCTGGAGTGATATCCCAACGAGAATCGATCCCATGTCAAAGCATGACAAGGTGAATGCGTTGTCCCGGGGTTGTTCACCCGGTTTCGTTTACTACACGCGTGCCGAAGCCTGTGGTTCTGTATGCCATGGCTACCAAGCGCAGACGCGTTACTCCCGTGCCAGTGCTTGCGGACTCCGGGCCGGGGCCGGCAAGCGCTGAACAACCCGAACGAGTGGAGCGGCGGGAGAGCACTCAGGGCATGGAGAGCTCACAAGCAGGGGATCTTGCGACAAGACCTGCGTCAAAGCAGTCTTTTGCTGCAGTTCCAGACTTCATCCGCGTGCATGAGAATCAGCTGACGCTGCTGAAGGACCAAGGAGAACAAGCGCAACAAACGCACAGGAGCAAACAGCTCTTCCTGCAAGCACGAGCTTTGAAAGTGGTTGCAAACGGCGGCTATTTTGCTTTGCTTCAGAGCGACCGCCGGCTGCTGGTTTTCGAGGACAGGGGACACAAGCTGACGCTAGACACAGTGGTCCCGGTGCATCCCTCCCAACTGAAGGCACTGCGCTTGGATGAAGCCGGAAACCCGCGGCTTCTGGTTTCGGATTCAAGCAGGGAAGGCCTTCGATGGCTCCGATTTCGGAGGCCAACTGCAGGCGCTGCTGTCGGCTGTTTTGTTGTCGAGGCCAGCCCTGAAGCGGGCAAAAGGCAGGGTGAAAGTGGCGGGGTCCGCTGATCACTGGAAAGGAAAAGCGTTCTGCCGCCTGCAGGGAGGATTGACAGCACAGTAGGTTCATTGGATTCATCAGGCGAATGCATACAGATCCTCTAATTCCAGCTTCAATGTTGCACGATGTTGACAGATACCCAAAAGCAATGCAATGTCTGCCTGGACCGTAGCCATGTCTTCTGGGTGTTTCATCGATCTCCACAGTTGCACCCGCACCGCTTCGTTCTGACAGCCTTCAGGTAGCCGACCTGCTAGCAAGATGGCGGGTGACCAAGCACGCACTGGCAGCAAGACCAGCAGCGACCAGGCGCACCGCTCTCCGATTTGCGTGCCTGTGGTTGTAAAGGGCAGAGCAGGATCCCAGCTCTCCCTTCAGGAGGGCATGGTTTTGGGCAAGGAGCTGGGTGGGTAGCGGTGTAGCCATGCCTGCTCAATACCTTCGTCCCTTGAGCCTTGCACAGGAAGGGCAGTTAGTGTCAAGTACCATGACAGGACTTATTGTTTGTGGCATGTGCAGTTGTTAACCCGGAGCGGAACACATGGGAACACGCCTGAATTACATTAAACTTCTGCCTGCCAGGCTCTCGGAGCGAAAGTCGTTGGAGGCAGTGCGCAAGAAGCCTTCTTCTCTGTGCATGTACCAGTAGGGTGCTTTCTTGCGATGAGCTTCATTGCCAAGCCATACATCCTGTAAAGAAAGGCCCCAGAAACAGTGATAATCAACCCGGAACCATAGCCATCGGAAACAGCCAATGATTCTGGAGCAGAGGAGAGGCTGGAGGAATGTTTCAAGAAGGATGATTCCCACGGCTCGGGGCATTTGTACCGGAATCCAGACTGATGACAAGCCGCAACAATGGAATATGGAGCATATACTAGTGGATCACTCTTGGACGGCATGCATTTGCAGGTGGCCTCTTGCACGTGAGAGCAAACCAGGTGTTATGCAGCCACACACGTTCGCAACTGAAAGCTCTGAGTCTCCGTTGTCCACGCGGTCTCCTCTACATACTCTCTTAGACTCTTCGACCCGAAACCCCAGGCCAGATCACAGTGATACTGATTCCTGGATCTTGCCAGAGGCACTTGGGCATCCGCCCGAGTAGAACCGCGAGCCAGTCGCCCAGCGTGCCGTGTGTTACGATGCGCCAGTTTGCTTCAGTTTGCAATGCGGATCTGCATCATCGAGCACTTAAGCATTTACATGATCGGGTGCAACCGGGTGGTATTTTCGGGCTTCCTCTGCATTCATGAGCGCGCCACGCTTCCGTGTCCCAGGTGCAGCGTCCGTTGGTCTGAGCCTCAAAGCACATCACAGACTCGATTGCAAGACCATTCCAAAGGTGATAACATTAGATACTTGCACACCCTCTCGAGCCGCAGGGGCAAGTCTCGAGGAACAGGTTGGCTTTTCCCGACTTGAACATACACTGCAAGTGGGCCTACTTTCAACGGGACCTCGAAGAGTTTGTCAGAGCTGGCATTCTGGGGTTCTGACGATGAGGCTCGAGACCAAAAGCCACTGCCAGCAGCCACCATCAGGTCTCGAGAATCAACCGCCAGCTCAGAAGTGGCCACAATGTGAGTGTGGCTGCAGATGAGAGCATGTCGGCTTGGGAGCCTGACGAGTCGAGGCCAACGATGCGGCGCGGAGTCGCGGCCGCGAGCGACGGGCGACCACACAGACGCGGGCTACCCCCGAGGCTGGACTGGAAGTAGATACGATTCGAGCACCTGGGATTAAGGCTTTCTGACAGATAGTGGCAGAGGCAGAGGCAACTAAATCAGAAGATCTCTATTATTGCTCCTCTTCGAAATAACTCGTCTCTTCGCTGTATCGGTCACAGTCCTTCTTGAAGGTGCAACGGTACTCTGATGGTGTCCAGCTGTACAGCGTTATATAGCTTCTGCAGCCTCCGCTATCACCAACTGCTTTTGATCACTGTGGCCAGTCGTTTTTTGGTTTCGGAAATTTCGCTCACCTGGCTGAAAGGCCGGTGCTGCGGACTTGGGCGTCTTTGGCCGGGGTCAGCCTCCCATGACGAAGAGCCTCAGCGGGGTCCTGGACTCCGGACAGTGCTGCTGCCATGTCAGGAAATATGTGGGGTTCTGAGGGTATTGGCAGTGAGAAATGTTGCTGTTTACTGCAGCACAACGACCTCATGTTGATTCTTCACCGATCTTTTGTGCCTCTGTGCAGCTGAGACGATGGCTGAGGGATGGTTTGGGCGGTAGCGGCCCGTCTGACCCCGGCCTCATGGGCGGGCCAGCGCCATGGAGGAGCATGGCTACTCGGTCATGCGTGTCCTGGGGCAAGGCGGTGGCTGCAACAGCCGGGTCTACGAGGTCAAAGATCGGGAGGGTCAACTGCGAGTGGTGAAGCAGCTGCCATGGGTCGCAGATACGGACAGAGAGAACGCTCTGCGCGAAGTGCGGCTCCTCTCTTCCATGCGACATCCGTGCATTGTCCCATATCTCGAAAGTTTCCTTGTTCGCTCCACACCCTCTCTGCCCTCCGAAGATATCCTCTGCCTGGTCATGAGCCGCTGTGACCGGGATCTACGGCAGGAATGCCTCAGGGTTCGACTGGAGTGGGAGCTGAACGGATGCAGAGACGGCTTCGGACGTGCACACATCGCAGAGATGCTGATCCTCTCCTGGCTTGCCCAGCTCACCTGGGGTCTTCAACACCTGCATTCTCGGAAGTTTCTTCACCGAGATTTGAAGCCACAGAATGTTTTATTGGCCCAACACGGCAAGCGAGTCATGCTGGCAGACTTCGGAGTTGCGGGACAGGTCGAGCACACCGAGGATCTGCGCCGGTCCATTGTAGGTACCCCTGCGTTCATGAGCCCGGAGATGTTAGAAGGTCGGCCTTACAACAGCAAGACGGACCAGTGGGCGCTCGGGTGCGTTCTCTTCGAGATGATGGCGCTGGAGCCTCCTTTTGCGGGGCGATGCGATTCCTATGCAGCAGTCGTGAGCGCTGTGCTGCATGCACCGCCTGTGCAGGCTCCCAGTGGATATAGCCCACCTCTGTCTGTGACGCTGGAAGGCCTTCTGGCGCGAAAGCCTCACAACAGGCCTTCAAACAGGGAGCTCCTGCGGTCTGATCTGTTGCGAGACCCTTTCCATGATTTCCTGCAAAGTTTGGACAGCCTTGTGGGAGACCGGAAGTGGGCGAAGCCACGGACTTCCACCTCTGAGCCCCGCGCCTCCACGGGCACCGCGGGCACCGCTGGCACGGCAGTCGGCCTTGCCCGGCGGGCGATTCCGGTCCTCCGGCAGCTGCACTTCGCTCCAGAAGCTGCCTCCAGTCACGGCCCCAACCCTGTACAGAGCGCCGTCACTGAGCCTTTCTCCGTGGACCAGCTTGATGCGGCCTCGCCATCGGACAGCGACTTGGGTTCACCCTGGGCAAAGAGCCAAGAGCTGAGCGCCACGGGAAGTTCTATGCAGGTTGGCAGCGCGAGTGCCCGCACGCCTGGCCTTCCGGGCCTGGTAGAGGACGACTTCGGTATCTCCAGGAGTCCATCTGTGTCAGCGCCCCACAGAGCCACGTCCAACCACACAGAAGGCTGCTCCTACGCTTCAGACTTCGAGAGCGACTCTGGCCAAGTCGGTGCCGAAAGCAATTCTTCCGGAGAGCGTGACCTCGATCTTTTGGAGGATTTCCAAGAGCCTGGAGACAGTGCGGACAACGTTTCACACAGCGAGCACGGCTTCGCCAGCACTGCGGAGTGGCGTCAGCTGATTGCCGAGGCCGAGGCCCTTTTGGTGCCGCTACCAGAGGTCCAAGCGACCGAGGAGGCCCACAAGCTCCGAGCGGCGCAGCTTGGTCGCAAGCGAGTCCGAGAGACCTCTTTAGATCGGAACTGGAATGAGACGAGTAGAGCACACCAGCACACCCTGATCGTAGAGTGAATCCTGCAGAGCCCTGCGACCTACCCCGCGAGCACAAGCACCGCATAAGTCCCAGGCTCGCTTCATCCCTTGGCGGGGAGGACAAGGCAGGACCTACAGCGGGCGAACACAGGGCACGCGGGGGTCTTGACGCGAAGATGTGGATTGTTCTCTAGACTAGGGTCCTCCTTTTAGGTCCTCAAAATAGTACGCCACCCTTATATAAGAAGAATCCTAAAAGGGATTTTAATTTAGAGAACTACCCATCTGAACTGAGCTTCTTTTCATTTTCGGAGAGGTCGACACTGCCCTGAACTTCCTGCGGGATCGCCGGCCTTTGGGAGACACCGTCGAGGCAGACGAGCTGCTTCTCCAGGCAAACAGTGCGAAAGAGAGGGCTCATGGTGTCCATGACCTCAACACCGAGTCGACACTGTGGGACCAGAAAGGGAGCCTAAAACTCTGTCGTCTGGATTTTCTCTACCCCTCCTGTTGTGCACCCACAAAATTGCACCTAGCCGCAAACCTCCAAGCAAACAAAAGAGGTTCGTGGAGTTCGCACATGCCGCTGCAGGGACTTGCAGTCCGGTCCTGGTAATTCAAAATTGATCTTGTCGAATCTGTGTCGAGGCATTGCAGGGCTTACTGCTCATTTGACGGCGTCGATGTTCTGAAATTGGAATCGGCTCCTGAAGCAACCACTCGCTCGAGCGTGCGTGCATGTTTGCGAACACCTGTGCATGTAAGACTGCAAGGCAACAATGGAGCAGACAGATCAATGAAAGAGCGTGATGGAAGAGATAGGTAGGTGTATTGATGGATGAATAGGTAGATAGGTAGAGGGGTGGCTAGGTAGATGGGTATAGATAGATGTAGAAATGTAGAGGTATGCCGTTTTGCGTTGAAGCACCTCCACTAGAAAAGCCTTCCTTTCAAGACTCCGAGGTGGAGCTGCTGGACTTGTTGGGGGATGAGGGCATCCTGAAGCTTTCTGAAAATCCTTAGAAATGCATTTGGGGCTTGAATGCTTCCGTGGTAGCTGGACGCCTCTACTTATGTGTGTGTGTGTGTATGCATATTTATATATATATATACATACATATATCTATCTA